CGAATGTCCCAGAGTTTGCTAGACGCCCTCTTTTTAGTATATAAGGGGGGGATAGATTGAAGAGAAATAATTGAGATAATCGAGGCAAGCGAGCAGTAGGCACTGTAAGTAAAGTGTGTGAATCGCTGTGAATTATAGCGTGTGTTTATAAAAGTAGTTAAGTTTAATGTGACTGTAGAAATTAAGTGTATTACAAAGTTTGTAACGAGAAAAAATAAACTAGTTTAATTAAGAAAGGACTTGTATCGCTGACGTTTCTCGGAGAGAATTTATACCGGAAATTATCAAACAAGCAGATACGTAACATTATAATAAAATCTATATTATGTTTCATAATACTGACCTAGAAAACATTTTTATTATATATTTGTCATATAGAATTTATGCTGAATTATAAGGATTTCTTTGTAAATTGCCAAGATAATTTTCCTTTTTGAAACAGAAGCCTGACATGGCTTGGTGGTTAGGGTACTCGACTATCAATCTGCAGGCTGCCGGTTTGAATCCTGTCACCAAACATTCTTGCCCTTTCAGCTGTAGGGGCGTTATATTGTGATGGTCAGTCCCACTATTCGTTGGTAAAAGAGTGTAACCTAAAATAGCGGTGGGAAGTGTTGACTGGCTGCCTTCCTTCTAGCCTATCACTTTAAAATTTGAGACGCCTAGTACATATAGCCCCCGAGTAGTTCGAAAAAAAAAGATTCTTCGTATTTGCAAGTTTCGTACGATTTTTTAGATAGTTCTTTAAAAGTTTTTCTTGGAGGTCTCATATAACAACCGGTAATACTTGAAATCAAATGACGCTAATTCTAACTTAACTCTAGTTGTTAATGCAACATTTTTGTAGGCTTGCCCGTTTACAAAAAATTCTTGGTAGTGGTAAAACATATTTATTAATACTATTAATGCATTTTCATAATGAAGTCATATTTGTAAGATAAAACTTGTGTTACTTTCATCGTAGTTACTACTTTAAGTAATGAGCTACATTTTAGATGACAGCGTTTATTTAATTTCCATGCACTACCCGATGGGTCAGTGGTAATTCTGCGGGATTAAAACGCAAAAAAATTGGGTTTCTACACCCGCAGTGGGCAGTGCATGGATAGCCCATTGTGTAGTTTGTGCTTAACAAAAACAAACAAACAAATTTCCATGTATCAGTTTTACGTTGACCTCCGATGAATACCATAATCATTTTGGTGTATTTATCAAGAAGGGAAGGTTTAATTCTGAGAGTTACATATACTGGGTTTATACCTGTTAAGTTATGTTGTATAACGTTTCATCTTATCTGAAGTTAACACTCAAATTACTGTTTTTTACATGTGAGTTGCAGTGATATGGTTAAAAACAAAATAACATATAAGATCTAAAAATCCCATAGTTCAATGCGCGTGGAGGTCGTGTGTGTACGTCTTCCGAATACGATTCATCTGTGCAATTGAACGATAGGGATGTATACATTGTCCAAAGGTCCAAGTAAAATCTTAGCAAAGACAAGACGAGGTATGTTAAGCTATCGATTACCAATCCCATGGTAGTGTGTAAATGTTAATGCAACTTATTGCTGATATATTGATGTTTCTTGCTCGATGGTGTTTTTATTAGTTTTGTAGTTCACGTGCTTGTATATATTTTCACAGGGCTTACGCAAAAGGTGGATAGCCTTGAAAGTCCGAGAGATTTTGCAAGCAAGCGCCCCGGGGAACTTAACGGCACAGCTGATATGAGGTAGCTAAGACTAAGCTCAAGCCAAGTTGTTTTTAATTGCCCAAAACTTAATTTTTTTTTAGTTTAAGCGCATTTTAGAGTAAATTCACATAGCATAAAGCATTATTGATGAGAGAAATTCTAATGTATAATGTATTGTGAAACTGTTACTATTTTGTATATCCTTCAGTTTTTAACAAAAAGAAATAAGTTTAGTGACCTTAATGTTTAAAGTCTGGAAAAGCGTATTAATATGAATGTATTGTAATTTATGTTTAGCCAACATTAAATATGAAGTCTGAGTTATTTCCTCACATGATGTACCAACTAACAACTAAACGAGTTAACGTTGGGCCTAAATATAGAAATCAAGAATACTTAGCCTACCAGGCTACCTATTATGTAATTTGTGTGCATAACTAGCCTGGAATCTGGATTAGACATTCCTCATTCAAAGCTATATTTAGCCAAACTGCAGTCTGCTTGAGGACTGGGGCTGATTCTTTTTACTGCTATTACAATTTACAGTGCATTGCTGTTAAGATATATTGTACAACTCATTTAACAAAAGTACAGAAAACGTTAAAGTTGGTAGTCTATGTTATATTAATATTTTGTATGTTATAAGCTTACAACAGTGTCAGGTCTTAGATTAAGAATTTTATGCAACATGTTTAACAAAGTGTTAATTATATTTATTTATTTAACTGTTAGTCTACTAGTGCATACAGAACTCTTATTTTTAGGTTAAATTTTCAGTTATTTTATATACTTAAAAATACTAAACAGAAAAGAAACATATAAAAAAACATATATGATATAAGATAAACTGGCTCATTGAAGCATACAACCAATAACTTGTAAAACATGACCTAAAGGTAAGATTTTCTCTCTGAGAGACAGTACATACTTGTGAGACTTGTAACAAATTCACTACTCAAATGATTAGTTTTTTGAAAGAATGAAAAACAGTATAAAAATAGAATAAATATAATACTGTAATTTCTCGTAGCTGAACATTCATACATAAGAAAAGCAGTTTCATTCCAGGTACAAAATTGAAAAAACATTTACTCCCAATAAAGTATGTTGCTGCATCACATATTTGATAATATAGTCAAGCTTCAAGCTTATCAGTATAGTTTAAGTGTATAGACTTGGAAATCACAATTAATAGTCAACATCATTCTTGTACAAATAAAGAAATCAAAACTGGACATGTACCAAAGTATGGTCTCACCGAAACTTTTAGTTATAACATATTTCTTACTTTTAAATTCAAAATCTTATAACATTGGATCCTAACATTGTATAATCTCTTTTCTTTTTTTTTGCCACAGCGAAATATTCAGTTGAAGGTTTAATTATATTAAAATATTCACATCAAAATCATTTCTTTCACCAAAACACCATTATTCCTTTCATTCAAGAAGCATGTTCTTTGCAGATTTACATATCCCACATGTATACCCAACGTTTTGAATTGTTGGAGCTCATTCTTCACACTATTGCCCATTCACTACAAATCTCCCTCTTTATCTTAGTTACTATTTTTCTGCCTCTTCACAATTTTTTCTATGAACCTTAACATTCTCCACCTTGCACATAAGTTTCTGTTTTTAAAAGGTTGACAGTATGTTTGTGTAATTAGTGGTTTAATTACTCTACTTCTCCAATTAAGAATGTGCTTTCAGTTTGAATGCAAGATTTTGGAAGAATTAAATTCGTTACTGTTGTATTGATCGGGTAAACATTTTCCGTACTTTGTTTACATTTTTCCTGTTTATGTCAGCAAACATTTTTTTCTCTGTCACTATTTCATGTGACTGCTGAAAGTCTGCTTTCATGAAATTGAGAAGTTATAGTATTAGCTCCGGAACTCGTTTGGTTATATACATCAAATGTAATATTCAATAATCCTTAAATGCTGTTGCTCAGAAATGTTTGTAATCATAGTTTCCTCAGTACCAAAAATAAGGCCTAAATAATATCTTCTCTGAAAAGTTTTTTTTTGATAGAGTGAGAGAACAATATCAAGTATTTCTTCAGTCTCATACAAAGAAGATGAATTTCTCAAGTCATTTCCAAAAATAAAGATCTCCTCTTACAAACTGCTGTCTGTCAACACCTGACAAAACTGCCTCTATATATTCTAATCAGTTTGACTGACTTGATCAGTAGGTCAATAGAAAATTACATTTCTATCTCTTTCTATCAGGCATCTCAAAGAAAACATTATGCATTTTTACTTACCTCCATAATACCACAATGCTGAAATAAGCTTTCAGGTCACAGTTCTGATAAATGCCTTTTTTAATTTGTATTGTTGCTATGTAAAACCTTAAAATTCTCTTTAGTAACTTCGTAATGTTCATTTATAATGAGAACTTGAAATGCCAGGGACATGTAATATGGTAACAACAAACAGGACGGATTGGGCTGCCGGGACACCAGTCAAAATCCCAGTGGGCAGGTGACGCCTGGG